TAGTTAATGTGTGGAATGATTTGCCTCCGGATTTAATTTGTGCTCATTCTAGTGAAAAGTTTGTGGACGCTATTAACATTTGCTTCTTCTTCGAAGGCATTCCCGATTACTGCATTAATTTCGTATTATGCTGTGGCACTACGCTCGCCTTTCTTTTAGAATCTCTGCAATTAGTTCATTAATCCTGAATTATGTGCTGTGTTTTCTTGACTCAAACGCCTGGAATATATATATATAAATATATACATACATATATATATATATATATATACCAGAGGAGCTGGTGCGATAATGCGTTTATGCGGCAAGCTAATCCGACTGTTCTTTGCACACGAACGGAAAACATCCTCCTAAAATTTGAGCTTCTCAGCCTTTTCGCACAACGAGTTAGTAAGTTTCTCACCAAATGAAAAGAAGCATGCCTTTAAAATTCCAGCCTCCTGGTTTTTCTCGCTTTCAAGTTAGCAATTTTCCTGTCAAAACTTTCACGTGTGTAAGTGGGGTACAGAAGTGAGTAAAAGCTAACCATACGTTCCTGGAGCCGAAAATGGCCAAAGAACTTATTAACAAAATTTCAGTAACTAATTTTGCTTGGTTAGTGAGTTTAAATACCCGGCGGACATACGAACACACACAAATACACGCACACACATACCCGCACACATACATGCCTACATACACACGTACAGAATATCTCATCACAACATGAGTTTTACATTGCGTAGATACAAAACGCATTAAAACAGTTTCAATTTATTTTTGCATCAGTTCAGTTCCGCATCCGAAGTGTTATACATTGGCAGCAACCACCATTTCATTTTACCGGAAATGGTAAAACGGACAGGTAAACGCCACTTTATGGAACTCAATGTAATTCGAGTTTCAGAAGACAACTTGTTATTTGTCCAACAAAAATTCATTCTTGTCCACTTTTGACACACATTTGCGAAATTATCACACAGATCAAAGCAAGCAGTAATTAACAAAAACACACGCAAAAGGTTATAAAAGAAAAAATGTCGATAGATGAGAGACCAACTGACCAATGAAAAAATTAAAACAGAACAGAATTACAAAGAAACAGATCGGATGATTAGTGGTGAGGTATGAAGAAAAGACAAAAGAAAACAGGTAATAAATGGTACAATTTTGGGAATGTCAGTTGTTGAGATTTGAAAAGAAATAACCGACCATCAAGAAAAGCGATGGAAACGTAAAGTACAACAATGAATACATCAAGAAATATGTGCTATAGCTGGATTCTTTACTTTCAGCAGCAATCAAATATCGGCTCGTACTAGAAGAAATCGATTCCAGCATCCCGGCCATTTTTTGAATTGTAAGAAGAGACAAACGTACCTCCACAGTTTCCATTGTAAAGCAACCGGAAAAAATAACAGTGACCACCCCAGAACGACAGCCCAAAAAACAATATTGGCAAAATAACTGGCTGAAATTGTCGGCATATTCATCAGTGATAAATGGAAACCGGGGAGCCTTTACAAGTACTATCTAAGTTCAAGAACCCAACTGCCTGATCACTCATCAATCACTTTCATTTTAATTCGAACCTATCCTCTCGCACTAGAAAAACCCGGCTTCTGGAATTGACATGTAGTCTGGGACTAATTAACAAGCTGCACGTGTGCTTCTAGACCAGTTCTGCGCTTCGTTTTGCTGAAGCGTGTACTGCCTCAATCAGAGCCGATCGAAATCCTGAAATAAAAGCATTACAGTAATGGCTGAGGCAACGAATAAGCAAATTCCACTGGATTCATGAAAGCAACATTCTCACCATTCTTTTCGAGCTCTTTGATACCATAGATTGTGGAGCCACCGGCTGAGCACACGTTATCCTTCAACGCAGCTGGATGTTCGCTGCTCTCCAGAACCATTTTTGCTGCCCCCTAGAAAAGAAGCGTCACTTAAAATACGGATTTCCAGAATACGCTCTAAGTGAAGAACACTTCGTTGCATTAATGTACGAAGGGCACAATTTTATAATGTCAGGAAGTTTAAAATTAACAAAAATTTGAGCGAAGTACAGTGAATTATACACATCTGCAAAGTGAACATAGGCAAATCCAGGACGGATCCCCCGGAACGGGGAGGAGGGTGACGGAGGGTGGGAAGGATAGTCCCGTTCCACCCTAGGACCATGCAAAAGCTAGAATGTAAGATCCAAAACATTGCATACCTCATAATCACATTGCGACTGCGACAGTCATCAGAACTTGATATTCTGAAGTACTTGTAATTCCAGATGAAAGCTAGTTACGATCATTGGACTAGTTGAAAATGAATCGCTTTTTTTTTTCCTTTTGAAGTAAATGAACGGTATCATTACAAATGAAACGCTATTTACAAATGAACGGTCTTACCATGACAGTCTGAGCAGCCAGTTTTAGCGAAGTTGCACGATCAATGCCGCCAAGGACGCCACCATCTGCTAGTGATTCAATTGCCATAAAAACCTGAATGGAGCATTTTCAGTGGAAAAAAAAAA